AAAAGATATTGAAACTATTATCGTTATGTGTAATCTAATAAATTATTGAATTTTGAGTCGTTCGCGTTAAGAAGTCAATAGCGTTTATTTGTATTGTAAATTAAAAATTGGGTATATGCTGTGTCTTTAGGCAACCCAAATGGTGGGCAGCTCGCAAAAATTGTTGCTCTCTATAATAAACCATTATTTTTTTTTCAATTAGATAAGATTACATATTATACTGACATCAAAGTATATATAATTAATACTATAATATATTATTTGCCCATAATTTGCAAACGGCTCAAAAACACTTTACTATTATGTTTACAATGTTTTGTGAATGACATATTTGTTGTGCTGAATGAGATAATAAAAAATATATCAATATAAAAATGTAATGATTTAAATTTCAAAGATATTCATGCGCTATACGTACTTATAAGTAAATTGTTTTTTTTTTGAAAATGTATTTTGCTGTTGCATTAAGATGCTTGTATTATATAAGGTTTCCTTGTTGTACCCCCAACGGAATATATCGTGTAAAGTCGTATTCGCGCAAGGGAGCAATGATTAAATATTTTGATCCCAACATGATGCACGTGGCGGTTTACTTGTCAATTTCTTAGCGGAGCTTAGACTTGGCGTTTTATTTTGGCAAAGGATTTACAGGGTTTACTACACGAACAAAGTGAAAATTGGCGACGGTGACGGTCGAAAATTAAATTTTAAGCTGTTGCCGTTGAGGAGATTAAATAATATTAAAGGAATATATACACTGCTGCATGTAATATAGATATATATATATATATATATATATTAATAAAACATACCCTAAGCGTGTTCTTGTGTATTATTTATCCGCATTGTATACTTACTGATAACACGTGTACAACATTTTCATTTTACATAATATAGGTATATTAATGGGCACGACTAGAGTGGCACTGAGAGGCAAGCAGACACCTTAAAGCTCCTTCAGAATTTCGGTTAGGTTAGGTAGGTGAAGTTGAAAAGTTACTTAGATGCTGAGCCTCGTCGGTTGCTGACATTTCTTTCAGAACCTGCCCCTAGCTAACTTTCCTAGTCCCCTCCCCTCGTGCTAATGCATATGTATTTATATAAATGTTCGACGACATTTTGAAAATATCAATAATGTTTTTGCACTACAAACAACAATACCTTCTAAGCAAACACCAAAATTGTGTCTACTATGGCAAACCGTACACGGTTTTGTGCTAACACAATATTGAACATAGTTTGTTAAACACACACAGCTCATTAAATTCTATAAGGCGATAATGTTCACTTTGACTTTCACGAACAAGAAAAGATTTAACGATTTTTATAAACTATTAAATGACGATGATGTTTAAGTATGAGCAATAAAACGCCGGACAAGTATGCGACATGTGTTTTGTTTTAATTAGCCAACTTACTATATAACTATCAATAAGAAATAACTATATTATAATTATTGTTATTTTAGTGATAGTCAATCTTGCATCTGTTACAAACAAAACATGTTTTCGAATGGCCACACGGAAGAGGATAAAAATATACAGCCTAAAATAATTTCCCCGAAAGTAAATATTGCTTAAAATTTAATGAGAAAAGTTTTTGAAACCGTTAAAGAATGTTTTTTTCGTTTTAATAAGTACAGAGTAATATTCGGATGAATGACGTCAATCTACCGAGTTTTGGGTGAAATAATAATATAAAAACATGGCGGAATTATTTTTGTTTTTAAGCGTTGAACACCTGTCAAAAATCACAGCTAAAACAAAGTCCAAGTCCAACTTTTGTTGTATATTATTAAAAAAAAAAAACGTCTAGGTAGGTATTCCAATGGATTCAAAAGCATTCTTGAATATCAAGACGTTAGCTTTGATAACTCTTACTAACTGGGCATAGTATCATAAAATATACATTTATCTACCTTTTATATATAACTCTACATATGTTAAAGACTAGAATTGATATAGTGGCATTACTGGATTTCTGTTTTGGCAACTCATTAAACGGAGTGAGCCAACATGTGCGGTGTATCTGATTAATTCCACGACAGTTAAACGGGATAAGCAAATTTGTCCTTTATAATTTATTTATTAAAAAAAAAATGCGTTTTAGTTTCCAAATACATAGTATTATTAGCGTGTGACATAATCATAAACTTGGAAACGCGCATTATAATATTTATATTTTATTGGGCGACTATTATATGCGACACCACTTCTGAACAGGTTTGTCAACACAGAAACATATTACTTTAATAATAATAATAATAATATGTAATTTAACAGATAAAAAAAAAGCATTACGACCTCCCACGCACTTGCTACTGTATAGGTAGATAGGTACATAGCTATGTTCCAGTGATCACAAGAACAGGCGAGATTACCTGTTGGGTTTAAACGAGACACTGATGTGTAATCCATCAATGTTTAACAACACGGCCATGTAAACCGGATGATTCACCCAAAACACCGTTGTGGTGTCAGCCACAAAGAAAATAATGTACTTGTGCTTACTACTGTTTTGAAATTTTGCTTCCTGCGTTATTGGCCAAACCTGAAAACCCGACGGACGTTGACTAATGTAAAAAGAAAAATACATATTTTTTTAGTCCTTAACATTTAAAAACGGTGTGTGTACCACGCACGAATCCTATAGATCATGTTATTATCATAACCTGTAGTGGCCGATCGAGGATAAAGCCGAATGAGCGACTATAAAGTCCGCCAATCGACTGACGCTATTTGTGTAAAAAATAAAATTTAATGAAAATTATACATATTTTCCGTATGCAGTAAAAGTTTTATTTATTATAATAATACCCATAATGTCAATGCCATCGTTGCGTTATTTAACAGACAGTTTGGCTGCGGGTAAATGTGGTGTGTTATTGTTATCAGTTAGGCGGAAACACCAAATTCCATACTTATACTTAGAAATACATATATAAAAACAAACTTTTCTCAACAAACACAGCGGCGCCTATACTTGTAATTGTTTTACTACAAATTAATGTAAAAAAAGGAGATATAATTTACTTTTACAACGTTTATGTTATGTGTACTTGTCCTCAATCAAACATGTTGTACACAAACAACATGTCCTCAATCAAACATGTTGTACACAAACAACATACACATCATTATGTACATTTTTTAAGTCTCATAATATTATCATCTTCGCGTTTGTTTTTTATACTATTAATTACTATATTATCGACTTGTACGGGAAACAAGTTGTCCTTTTTCAACATCCACGGTTCGGAAAATTATTATCTACCGAGGAAACGCACGTTTTACTCGGTCAGTGATTGTATTTTAATTTATTTCTTTTGGACGTTCGCCAAAACCGGACGAAAAATATACATATATAAATATATATTATTTAAACTTGGGAAAACACAACACGGTGTACTAGTGTAGTATAATAATTTGTCGACCTTAAAAACAATAACAAAAATGACTAAAGACGGAGTTGACTTATTTCATATACATGCGAACAAAATACCTACTTAATTACATCCTGTTGTAATGTTAAATTCATTACAAATCGCACGGTTTATCATTCACTAATGCTCGCCTAATGCTATTTAAATAAACCACCGACGAAAACAATATTATTCCTTTAATAAAATATATCGTATTCGTTGTATCTATATATATATATATATACAAGGTGATTATGAGTCATTAAGAATGAGATACTCGTTTTCTTCTAGAACAGTTGCGATTTTATAGTTTTTCTTATTGAAAATATTTTTGATATTAATATTTTTACAATAGTATACAATTACACACATGATGCTTTTGTCCGACAATTGACACTTAACATTTGTAAAAAAATATTGAAAAACGAGAATATATTATTATCTTAACACATATAATAAATAAACTAACGCATGGATGTGTAGAACGACAAGGTTAAGCAAATAACAAATGATGATATAGAAAGATATTTAATAGTTGGCGAATAGATTACTAAATTCGTTTTGGAAGATTTGAAAAATATGAAATTTTGGTGAAATGACCCCCGCGTAATAACTCTGTGTAGGGAGAACTGGATGTCTGAATCCCAATACTGTTACAGGACATTGTATTGCCATTCGAGATGAGTGTCAGGTATACCGTATAACATTTCTAACTATATGCAAAAATGACTATGCACACACAATAGTCATTGTGTGTATATCATAATGTACACGGGACTTGGCTAAACATTTTATACATTTTCTTTTTCGTATCTTTAAAAGTTGCAAAAATTATTGACAAATGCGTATAACAGATTATCGTAACCCATATAATAAACACACTAACGCATACACGATGGATGTGTAGAACGACAAAATTAGACAAATAAAAAATTATCATTTAAACGTGGTTTTCTCGATTCTTACAATAAAAAAGTATAGCAATAATGATACTGAGATATTGAGGTACTAATGTATGAAGATAGATAACTGATATTCTTTTACAGTCCAGAGTTTTCTTTGTCTTAATATTTAATGGCATGCAAGTTTATCAAATATAATACGTAATGGCGTAGCAATACACATTTGCTAAATTCTTTTCAGTGAAATTTAAAAAAAAAACGCACACACACATATCCGTTGTAGCAAAATCGACACGTTTGTGTGGTTAACATACAACATATATATATTTGTGCAAATATGCAACTTAAATAAGAATGCCACATCTAAAAATTTGATACCAATCCTATTTGGCTCAAACTTTCTGTACTCGTATAGTTTTCAAAGACGGTAAAAATCATTCGTATTGTCTCACAGTATTCCTTCAGTTTGTTGTTAATAAAATAATAACACGATGTCCTTTAAGTTATCTATTTTGTTACTGTCGTTGATCTTAGCTGCTAATTCCGTATCGGATGATGAATATGAAGGTATGGATACAGATTTAAAAGATGAATATAAAGACATAGAAATGGGATTAACTATAGAAGATTTGGATGTTGTGGACGATGATTTCATTAAAGACTTTGTTTCCATACAGCTACACCCTACAGAGCCAGTCAAAACTGAAGGACCAAGCCAAACTCAAGCTACGCATAGCCTTAATTGTAGCTGTGAACCGGACCCAATTGAAACTGAAGTAATTTTAGGTTCGATGCAAAGCGAGAAGGTATTGGTTTTACTCTGATGTGTGTTTTTTTTTTATCTGTATACACTGTAACTTCTTTAATACTGGACCAATTCGTTCGAATAGCAACTCTATAAAACGCAATTTTCATCTAGTTGGTACTTTGGGGGGGGGGGTACAATTTTTTTTGTTTTTCCGGGTTTTTAGCGGTAATTTTAAAATTTTGGGTTGAAAATTTGGCAGTAGTTGGAACTCATATGTACCCATAACATATTAAACGGGAAAAAAATTCGGCACTACAGTTTTTTTTTAATTGCCGGGAAACTGTGTTTTCGCAGATTTCGTATATTTTAACAAAAACACCTAAAATCTTTAAAAAAAATTGATCAAATCATTAAAACAATTTTATTTATATCTATGCAGAATGATACTATTAGGTTTTGTGCTCAAGTACCACTCTTGACTTAAAGTTTACACAAAGTTCAATTTTTTTTTTTTTTTACTTTAGTTCTTTCTGGCTGATTAAAATTGAGAACTGATAACAAATTCGTAATCACCGACCCCAAAAACATATAATTTGACCACTTTTAATGGCTTTTTCACAAAAATCCAGAAAAATGTTGTGCAAATGAGCATCAAAGCGTTGATTTAAAAGCGATTTTATCTAAGAGGACTAGTACAGTAGAGTATTGGCATAATGTAATCAAAGCAATGAGGAAACGGAGAGGTCACAGGTCTACAAGAATCATTATAAATAAAAGTGATAAAATTGAATAAAATCGCTTTCAAATAAACGCTTTGATGCTCATTTGTAAATACAGAACCTTCATTTAAGACTTTCTAACTTTGCTGGTTTATACTGTGCTTGGTTTGGACTGTACTGGCTTGAAAATACTAACTACCGATTTGCATCGAAGCGTTTTTTCGAAAGTGATTTTATCACTTTCAGATTTAAAAATTCCTGTAAACCTGTGACCTCCCCATCCCCAATATGCCCCGACCCAACTATGTTCCAACGATGATTTCATTAAAGACTTTGTTTCCATACAGCTACACCCTACAGAGCCAGTCAAAACTGAAGGACCAAGCCAAACTCAAGCTACGCATAGCCTTAATTGTAGCTGTGAACCGGACCCAATTGAAACTGAAGTAATTTTTTTATATTATTTTTAGACTATTCTTTTAAAGTAATTAGTTTACTGTCGATTTGACTTGTCTATCGTCGTCAGTCGTTGCTTAAAATTCCTACCACTGATTTAATGAAACTAAAAATGAAAGTTTCATTTAATATGTGTTCCTCACATCTTGCAATAACTATGTGTACTAGCCATAATTACTACTACAGTTTAAACATTTTCTAAATTAGTTTTAAAAAAATACCAACCATTTTATTGGTTTTATTTTGTTTAGAAACAATTTTTTTTTTTGTTATATATGCTACTCTGTATGTATTATAAGTATAGCTGTTATGAGTCAGGCAATCAAGTAAAAAAAAAACAAATTATATAATTCTTAAACTTTAAGAAGAGGTATTATATTTATATTTGCAAAATCTTGTAGATCATTAATACACAGTAAAAAGATGTAAAAAATATAGTCAAAGAATTAATTTTAGGTAAAAGTTAGTTTAATGATAATTGAAAATTAAACACGGATGGTTCCTGAATTATTTATGATTAAAAAAAGCATTATGTATTTCGATTTTATAATGAAGTATATTGATGTTAATTAAAAAATATTTCAGATTTTAAATGAGTCATACAAGCATTGTAGAAGATGGAATAGAAAAAATCCAAGAGACGGGGTTACAAGAGTTGATTTTTGGTATTTTATTGGAAAAAACCAAAGTGACTTTGGTATAATACAACAATACTACCGTGACCATCCATATATACTTCAAGGTAAACATTATCCATGATTTATTAGTACAGTGCTTGACTTGGGGGGGAAAGTAGTAAGGGTACTCTTACTACATTTGAAAAAGTAGTATCCCTAGCATTTTATTATATGCCCAGTACCATGTTTCTATGAGAACAATTTGTAAACATATGTGTGTATATTATTTATTTTAAAATAAAATATTATCGATTCTTGCTTTTAGGTGCTTTTGACTTGGACGGAAATGGATATGGTAAACTTTTTAAATACATATGCAAAAAACGTGGCGTTACTGTGAAGAACTGGGCAGAAAATAGGAAAAATAGAGCGGAAAAAGAGTCACGGGAAATGACTGGAGGGTTCGATTGGTACCATGAAGAATAACAATTAGCTAGTGAAATTAATGGTGACAAGAAAAAATGCCTATACATATTTGTTAGTCTAATATTAACATGTTAAAAAATGTCTAAAAAATCAAAAATTTAAAATTAATTTGATGTCAACAAAATCACTATTTTTTCTTCTTCAAATAAACACTGATTATTCACAACTTGTGCATTGTTCATTTTATCTATAGGAAACTATGAAAAATAATTATAACTTAGTGTCATCTCACATGTGGTTTAAATTTTAAGAAGTACACTTAGTGAATAAAATAGTTACTGAATTCCATAAAAACAACGTGTACAAAATATGATTATGTACACATAGCTATGTGTTGTCCAAATTATTATGTTGTACACGGGATTTTATAAAAAAATGTAATATATATATGTTCTATTGAAAATAATAAAATTGTATGGCAGTCGAAAAACACCATATCAAGACATCTGTGTATACAGTTACTATAATAGTATACTTTATTTGAGATTATTGTCAGCTTATGCCGTCTTACTACTAGTGTAACCTACGATTTTCTATGCTATTGTAACAAGTACTCACATAAACCAACAAAAGAAAACCAAATTTTAGCAAAAAAATTTCACGTTGAAAATGTTATAATATTATTTTATCATAAAATTCTTTTGCATACTTAAACAGCTCTTTACTCTTCAGAGAAAATGAGTGTCTTATTCTTAACGAATCACCCTGTATTGTGTATTCAACTATAAGATGAATTGGTCATCGTTTAGTTTCCATACATAACATGGTATTTGATAAATAATATTTTTACTTGAAAGTCATAAGTAAAGAAAACTATTCGATATAAAACCTGTATTCGTGTCTACCAGCCTCTCATATGTGAAGATCTAAAACTAATTTGTCGGTTTCTTATTTAAACCGACTTTATTTGAACCCAAAAAGTCTGATGTAGCTATTTTAAAAAATTGGAAAATGTGTGTGTGCCATATTGCATGAATAATGAAATTCTTAAGCAGCAATTGATGGTAATGGGCGGTTGCAAGTATTCATCTTCAGTTCAGTGTCAAGACACAGGAAATTGTTACAAGGAAAATACTTTAAAAAAATATGTACATTAAACTTAAACCCGAGTTCTCATCATTCTGGTATTGCACGGGTGTTTTTAAGTTATTTATAGTTTAGTTATGGACATTGCATAAGATTACACGGGTCACTAGTTTAAGACAGACGGCTATCGCTTAAGCAAAATTACATAAAAACAGGATAAGTTGTAAACTATAAACTCACTACTACATTACCGACGCAATGACATAAGTACATGATTTTTGTACTACTAATAATTTCTATAATATGGTTTGTTTGATATATATTAACAAATAATGTATGTTACTTTAAATTTTTTGTATTATTAATCAAATTATTACTTCTACAAAAGTAGTATCGTTGAGCTTTTATTTAAATACATTGATTAAAGTTTCTCGCAACCTTTGTCTGAAAAAATTAACTCTGAATTTTTTAAAAGCTGTCAAATGCCTTGCCGGGGAAATCCTATTAGCTATGACGTTAAGCCTTCACAAATTACAAAAACAACAATGGCGCGATAATAATATTATGCATTTCACCGTAATAAAATACAATTCTCAAACAGTATAGGTATGATATATATATATTATTATAGTTAAGGTACGTGTTTAATTTCCACAACAATCATGACCTTATGCTTACTAGGTGTATAAGGTGAGCCAACAATACAAATATATATATATATGTATATCAACTATTTTAAATATAACTTTGATTAATGGTGGTCTACATACACAAAAATATTTGTTTTGCTCACTCCTTAAATAAAAAAATAACAGGACAAAGGAGTGTGTGGGACTGCGGAGATCAATGTGTCCAAGGAATGATGTAATTGAAAGTTTAACCTGAATGCCTAGTTTTAGATTTACATAAAATGTTTGTTGATAACGTCGCTGCACCGCATAATCATTTTTATTATCTAAATGTCATTTTTTTTTTCATTTACTATGTTGAGTATAGTTAAGTGTCGTAGAGACATATAATTTTTAAAAAAAATGGTTCCTATATAATATCTGAATGCAATCATCATATGATATAAAATACCAAATAAACGCATTTTAAACCCGTTAAAAAATTACACAACATTCAAACATAATAATATATTAACATCCAATATACAAAACCAAAGCTTATGCCTGCTGTGTACTTGGAGACTTTATCAAACGTTATACCATTAGTAATGAACAATTGATTACTGTAATAATGTATGGCGATTGAATGTACTAATATAATATTATAACAATTACTCAAGTAAATAGCAAATAAATCTATTGGTAATCGTACCTAAAGGTTACATTTATAAAAGAATAATAGCAATTTATAAGTTATTGTTTCCATAAAAAAAGATACCGTCTTTGGTATGCTAATATAAGTTATTTAAAAACTAAAACATTTATCTCTAATGGAAAAATCCAAAGATAAAATCCACATTTTTATTTTATACAGTAATTACTATTGTTAATTTGTATAGGAAACACTCCTTTGGACTGTTGTTACCTAATAATATTAGTTACGCAACATTTGATTTCACACTGGTGAATAGAAATTTAAATGAAATATTGATTACATTTAGTTAATATAAACACCTATAGTCCATTCGGTTTATGCATAGACTTTTATGATCAAAAGCGAACGTTTGTTTGGATTTAATTAAATTATCATGTGACTTGTTTAATAGGATTTTTTTTTTCAACATAAACGATATCCTTACACAACATAATAAACATGTACATGAAAAAAAATTGGTCATCTCGGGTCAAAAGCAAAACGGTAAATTTCAAGTACTTACAACGCTTGACACACATGCCGGATGGTATCTCGACAACTATATAACTTATAACCTGCCTTGGAATTAAGGTTTTTTTTAATGACATTTTATGGTAAATATTTTATTAGATGACACAATTATTAGAAGTTGCTGTAATAAAACCTAAAGATTTTTTATTTAAAAATAATTTACGCCCAAAGGTCAATGGTATACAGGATAAAAATATATGATCTTACAAAAATTAATTAAAAATAATTACAACACCACTAAAGAGGGGAAATGTTGTAAAGATCATTGAACAACAGATATTATTTAGAACCCTTTTTAGTCTGGCTAAAGAAATGATCAAGAAATCCAAATTATAATATTAATTATTGCCATTGGCATTCGGTTTACCGGAGAATAATAGATATAGTTTTGTTTGTAAAAGAATATAATATAAAATAGGTTAGATGATAAGGTAAGTCATAATTATTATTATTCGTGCGATTTTTGCACAGTGCCATAATGTTTTCGGTCAGGTTTCTGTTATGACATACCTAGCTGAAAGATCAATAAAGATAGTGTAGTCGAGCCGGCAGATTTGGTAGATCAACGCGTGCAATAAGCATAGGGAAGCGACATACCTGGGAGTTATATAACATTACTATTATTTATTAGAATGCTTTCTTTGCTATATTTTATGGGATTGTACTTAATTTAATTTATCAAACTCCGGCGGGCTATTGAAAACGGTAGAAAAAAATCATTAATTTCACATGGTTGCGCATACTCCATACATAAATTAAATAATATTTTAGACAACGATAACAGTTCCCACTGGAACGTACTTAGATACAGTTATACCAAGTCTTAAGGTAACGACGTTTCATATGAAACTGTACTAACACTGACAAGGCACAAAGCCTACACAACCTTAAATTACAATAATTACATTCAGTACAGAACGTCACTAATTGTTCACAGAAGCCTCGAGGTTGACTTTTGGAAAGAAAAAAAAAACATAATTAAATTACTATATTGTGTGACGGTTGTAATGAAAAACCATCCTCGTCGTTTCTGACCCTATTTTTTTTTTATATATAAATGAGGAAATGGCATTAAACGTTTTCCTCTCCTCTGTCTCTCCACGTCTAAATCGACACCCTTTTTAATTGTTTAGTTTATACAACTAAATCGCTTTGTAATTTAACAAAAAAAAAAAACCAAACAAACAGTAATTGTTCTCAGGGTTAAAAGCGAAAAAAAAACACCAACAAACGAATTAAAGGCATCTTTTACTTTCTTTAAGGAGAGGTGTGGGGGCGGCTGATAAACATTTTTTTTTTTAGAATTTGAAAACTTTATGTGCTTTAAAAAGTGATTAGCGGTAATTTCGGGTTTTCTAAAAAAAAAAATGGTGTATCATTTACAATTTTTAACTTTTTATTTACCAACAACAATTTTCAAACTTTTAGGAGCACTTTAATTATTATTCATTACTTTTTTTACCGACTGAATTTTAGAAAATGGATGATAATATAAACTAATTATCCTTTTTTTGTTTAGTTTAAATCCTTTTCATTTAATTTCAGTAAATCAACAATAACACAACATTATATTTTTTAAGCCAATAACAATACCAATAATACAATATTATATACTGTATAAATGTTGTAAAATTGTTATGCTTAGTTAACTTGTTGGGCTTTAGTGCCAACGTCAAACAGTATCTATTTCTACAGGCAAATAATGTAAATTTTAAACAATTATCACATTACAGTATAAAAAGCCTCATATACAAAATTGTGCAGTAGCGCTTGGTCTAACTTTTTTTTTTCTCTAATATATATTTATAGTTTAGAAGCTATCCGCTACTGTCTGTGTACGCATCTTTAAGTAAAACCACTTAAGATTATATGTGTTGCACTTTAAATATTTAACGTAACGGTTGTGGGATGAACAAACAGCTGAAAGTCCACCGACGGTGGGTTAGGGTCACTGGTAAACGGATGGCGGCTAGCCGAGCTGTGATGCGTCTAATGGAATAATTTAGACTGATGAACGTTAAGCAATTAAAAAAAAAAAAAACCCCGTCGGTTCTTCATCACTGTCAGAGACCTCGTGTATAATATATATTTCACCCTTAATTTTCTTTTGGCGTGTAGTCGACCGAACCGGGGTAGAGCACGACAAAAAAGTGGCTAAAGTCAAGTTAAATTTTCACAAATGAATTAATGCACACATCTCGGTGTGACGCAACAACGTTGTCTCCATTATGCCGAGAGGGTCACGTTCGGGTCAACCAGTGTATACTGGCGGTAAAATATTACATTGAGATCCACGGTAAAGTAAAAAATATAATAATATATTTATCAACAATTATTATCCGCCTGAGCTCTGAATAATTAAAACCAGTAAAAAAAAAAAAATACCTCCGGCAAGTAAAAAAAAACAATAACCACCGATAACAATCACTGCGTACTCTGTACAGCCTTATTTAACGTCTTAACAGTAATCAGCGTGGGTGCAAGTGTGGGGGCGTTTTGAAGATGAGCACCCAAAGACAATGCGCCGAAACGCTGTATTGCATAATTTTCAAACGGCACACACTTAGTGTCTTTGTCTCGGTGTGTACCCTCTTGGAGATAACCGCAGTTGAATTTTCTGTACTTAGGGCCCAAAAGTTCATGCATAATATGCTACGTTTTAATCAATGGTCCGGAAATAGTTAGATGAGCTACTAGTTTGAATAAGAAACACAGAAATCAAAACAAATTTTTCTTTGCAAATTTTACATCATAAGCGACATTTTTTCATTATTATGACGCGTTTAATATTATTTAGTTTAGAATGTATACACAATTTGTTGTAATATTTTTTTTATACTCCAATAGTAAATATTATCATGGATTTCATTTATACAATTTGCATCATTATACATTTTTGTGTTAAGTTAATATTTTATGTTAACAATAGTATATTACTGTGATAGTAATATTAAATTTACATTATATTCTCTAGGCTAAGCAAACTGCCTTCGATAGTTCATACATAAAATAAACAGGCTAGTTTTGATCGAACGAGTGTATTTAAGTGTGTCAGTACAGCCGATGAAGAGGCAGAGTAAGCCCCGAGGAGACACTTGGCCATCATTAATGAGCCTATTGTAATAAATACAGTCATGTATACGAGGAGGAACTGTAGATGGATTGCAGATTAGTCATACTTGTTCAGTATTATTATTAAATATATATAGATATATATACATATACAGATTATTAATGAGGTCCCCTTAATGTGGGGTTTTCTATTCATAGTGATCGCGTGTACATGTTATTAAATTGTAAATAGTTTTAAAAAATACTTATTGTTAAAAATTGTAGTTTTCAATAAGTGATTTAAATTTAAAAAAAAGTTCTGTATAGATTATAACAGAACTATCACTTCAATCAACATTTGTTGTACTTTTATAACAAGCAATGTCGATTTTTGACTTAATTTTCAATCCTCGTTTATCGACCTAACGTTTACAACGATTTAGACGACTGTATACAATGTACATACAATGCGGTTTATTAATTTATGTAATTTTAATTTATTCGTCCCCTGCCGAATTAATAAAATTACATTTAATTACAATATTGCTGTTCAACAATCTCCAGTCGAAACATATTACTTATGGATGATTATGCAGCGTCTGTGATGGTAATAATAATAACACAGTCTGCGAGACAAATAAATGAAAGTCTAAAGCCACATATATATATATATATATATATATATAATAGTCAGTCATGCGAAACTTATGGTTTAATGACGAACCGCGATTATGAAGTCTAGAACTAATTAGTAAGTGGTATTTTTTGTATTTTTAAAAATATTTCAGCGGCACTATAGTGTTATTAAATGTAATATAAATTGCGACGGACAATAATTATTATTTTAGTGTCCCACGCACGACGGTCAATCTTTTTGAACGAATTGTAAAAATGCCGCCTAATTTTGCAGTAATTATTATCATTACAGGATTGCGCGTGGTGGACATGTGAATTTTTAAGCCAAATCAGAACGTCAAGTTAAACGTCTGCGCTGTGTAATGTGTCTCTCGGACGAGGCTAAGAAACAGGTGTTGGCGGATACCGTTTCTGATAGCCTCGAGGACTTCTCCGAGAAGGGTAACTCAATAGGGTTTGTTTCTGTAATTGGTTGTTTTTTGGCCGTAAAACCACAGAACAAACAGAAGGGATCTTCACAGATACATATATATAAGTATATGTATATATATATACATATACCGTGTGATTGGTTAACTATGGACCACTCAATATCTCAGAAGATATTAGACTTCTTACAATTTTTTTTTTGTACATTTATAGCTATTATTTGGGACAAATTTTATATATTTTTAAAAAATTTAACACCATCCCTTATGCGTTAAAACCATATCAACTTTGGATTTTTAAACGGTAACCCCCAATTTTTTTTTTTTTATGACCGTGTTTATTTTTTTTTAATTTAATTTTATGCGTAAAAACAAGCTAAATCGGTTGAGTAGTTAACGAGCTACACAGTTTTAAAATTAAGGGGAGTGCAAAAAAAAAATGTAATATCTTGGAGACGATAACATATTAAGGTGACCCTTGACTGCTCTTTGTTATTATTCATTGACAATAGCTATAGTAGCGTTTAAAAATCATAACTATTTACATTAGGTAAATAATTCACCGATAGTAAATAATAATCATAAAGATCATTTGCTATATCGAGTGACAAATATTACCACCACTACACACTTCTACATTTATGAGGATTTATCAAATATCATGTCATGTATGGAAACTAAATGATGTCCAATTCATCTTATAGTTGAATACACAATACAGGATGGTTCGTTAAGAATAAGACACTCATTTTCTCTGAAGGGGAAAGGGCTGTTTAAGTATGCAGAAGAATTTTATGATAAAATAATATTATAACATTTTCAATGTGAAATTTTTTTGCTAAAATTTGGTTTTTTTTTTTGGTTTATGTGAGTACTTGTTACAATAGCATAGAAAATCGTAGGTTACACTAGTAGTAAGACGGCATAAGCTGACAATAATCTCAAATAAAGTATACTATTATAGTAACTGTATACACAGATGTCTTGATATGGTTTTTCGACTGCCACACAATTTTATTATTTTCAATAGAACATATATATATATATATATTACATTTTTTTTATAAAATCCCGTGTACAACATAATAATTTGGACAACACATAGCTATGTGTACATAATCATATTTTGTACACGTTGTTTTTAAGGAATTCAGTAACTATTTTATTCACTACGTGTACTTCTTAAAATTAAAACCACATGTGAGATAACACTAAGTTATAATTATTTTTCATATTTTCCTATAGATAAAATGAAAAATGCAAAAATTGTGAATAATCAGTGTTTATTTGAAGAAAAAAAAATAGTGATTTTGTTGACAAAATTAATTTTGAATTGCTGATTTTTTAGACATTTTTTTAGATAATCAGACTCCCGGGTACTATAGTGTACCGACTTTAAATAAATAAATAAATACATTTATTAATCTATAGTAACATCCAATTAGACCTAGGGTACACTATAGTGTACCCTATTTTTTAACATAATAATAGACTAATTAGTATGTATAGGTTTTTTTCTTGTAACTTTTATTTTAACTAGCTAATTGTTTTCCTGCCAGAAGAACAATGAAGTCTGTTCCCGTGACTCTTTTTCCGCCCTATTTTTTCTATTTTCTGCCCAGTGTTCTACAGAAACGCCACGGCTTTTGCATATGTATTTAAAAAGTTTACCATATCCATCTCCGTCCAAGTCAAAAGGACCTAAAAGAAAGAATAGATAATATTTTATTCTAAATAAATAATAAACACACGTATGTTTACAAATTGTTCTTATAGAAACATGGTATAGCGCATATATTAAAATGCTAGGGATGCTACTTTTTCAAAAGTAGTTAGAATGCCCCTACTATTTTTACCAAGTGAAGCACTGTAAATAAAGCATGGATAATGTTTACCTTGAGGTATACTTGGATGATCAACGTAGTATTGTTGTATTCTGTAATTGTCGCTTTTGTTTTTTCCCATAAACAACCTAAAATCACCTCTTGCAACCTTCTGATTTGGATATTTATTGTTCCAACTTCTACAATAATTGTACGAATCTCTTAGAATCTGAAATGTTTTTTAATTAACATCAATATACTTCATTACATAATTGCCCCATTATAAAATCGAAATACATAATGCTTTTTTATGATATTTTAATCATAAATAATTCAAGTATCTTCAAAAATTAATCTTTAAACTATCATTAAGCTAACCTTCACCTATAATTAATTCTTTGGTTATGACTTGTCTAACAGTTGATCACAATTTAACTGTACATTTAGGATCTACAAGATTATGTCAATAGAAATGCCTCTTCTTAAAGTACTGAACTCAATTACAATTCATTAAAAATAAAGTACACATTTACACTATTTACATGACTTGAGGTTACTCCCACTTGGATGTCTTGACTAGTTCGCCAACTAAGCAATGACCGACGACGATAGACAAATCAAATCGACAGTAAACTAATAACTTTAAAAGAATAGTCTAAAAATAATATAAAAAATTACTTCAGCTTCAATTGGGTCCGGTTCACAGCTACAGCTAGAGCTATGGGTACTAGCAACCATAGCATTCGTAGCTCTTCTTTCTGGATATAAAGCTTCATATTGGTCTTTAGGGTCTAGCTGTATGGAAACGAAGTCTTTAATGAGATCATCATCCAAATCTTCTATAGCAGTTAATCCCATATCTATTTTTACATATTCATCAGTTAAATCTGTATCCATAGCTTCATATTCATCTCCCGGTACGGAATTAGTAGCTAAAATCAACGACAGTAACAAAATAGATAACTTAAAAGACATCGTGTTATTGTTTTATGAACAACAAACTGAAGGTATACTGTGAGACAATACGAATGAGATTTACCGTCTTTGAATAGCTGTAGTAAGAAAAAAAACTAAAACTATATGAGTACAAAAAGTTTATGCCAGATATACACATGTTGTATGTTAACCATACAAATGTATCGGTTTTGCTACAACGCACATGTGTGTGTTTTTTTTTTTTAATTTCACTGAAAATCTAACCAATCATATTATCATGTGATAAGAATTGAAGTCGGCATCCGCCATTTTTTTTGGATTTATGTGTGTATTTAGACGTATAATAATAAGAATAATTATTAATTAATAAGGTCATGTGGACGACCGCGTCTTAAGCGTCGTTGGACTGGTGGATGTATGTGTAGATTGAAGAAAAGTGAACCTGTTGATTTTGGTAGTGAATTATGACATTTTTTTGCCAGGGTGCTTATGAGATAGTGGATGTTTTTAATTTGGAAGTCTTTGTGTAAAATTTTTGTCGCGTTCGAACCAGAGAGCGTTGGCCATTATATATATTCTTAATACCTTATTTTTGAAGGTTTGAATTTTTTTCAAAGTGTGTAGGTGCACAACTACCCCAAATAGGGCAAGCGTAGGTGAGCAGTGGACGTAGGATTTGCTTGTACATAAATAGTGGACATTTTTTATGTATTGCGGATTTTTTATTTAATATAGGGAACAACGTCGAAAAGCGCTGTTGGTATGCTTGTTGTAGTTTGCTTGATATATGTGGCCACCACGTTAGCCTTTCATCCAATGTGACTCCAAGATATTTGACTGAAGGTTACCAAGATATACAAGCCAATATTAAGTAATGTTTAATTATTATCCATGGTTACATTCTACTACGTACTACAGGGTTAATAATGTTAGAAATCCAACGTCGATAATACGATACAAAGTTATTTATTCAATTTACTTCATAAGTACATATAACAAAATAAGAAGAATAACAAATGGTATAGAGACAACTGAGAAAATGTAGCTGAGATAACTAGCCATCATAGATCAAGACTTCTTGGCCCTGACCAGTCGGTGGATGGTCAACTGCCTTCGGAGGTCCGTACTGCAAGTCCATTGGCTTTTGGGGCACCACGTTTTGCTTTTCCACCAGCTTTTCAGGCCTCAAGTCTACAATATTGTACGCATATCACTGTAAAATAAAATATTTTATACGACCAAAGAACAAACTTACTTTGTACAGTGTACGTATCGTCGTACAGCAAAGCGTGAATGCGACTGTAGCACAATCGACAGGGAACACATTAGGAGGATGACACAATAAACCATAGCCATCTCGAGACAAAAATCTTGTGCAAAAATTGAGACAAAATATTTAACTGTGCAAAATTGAATTATCATAAGACAGTCGATTGCCAAACAACATAATATATTATGGTATCCAAGCAACGTTGACCAAGTAACGTCATAGAGTAATAAATGATACAACGAGATGAAACTAGCTTGTGTGGAATTACAGCAAAGTTCACAGAAACACTAAAACCAGTACCATCACAGAAAAGAAGAAAAAAGTTTTTTTTTGTCATTTATGTGTATATAAAATAATATATCTATATTTGTGATTCTGTGTTATCAACTTAGCTGCTATAAACATATTTTCATGTGATTAGGTTCTTCTAATTCCCACAATGATGGCGGAAATTTGGTAACTTCAATTATCGCTATTGGCGGCATGTACACTTAGCAATCCCGTTTATTATATATGTATAACGGACATGATTTTATCTCTTCCCGTAAGAGCCCGTGTAAAAATGATACAGTTTCTTTTCTTTTTATGATAATCGCAGAGAGATATTTTGTTTCCTATAGTGCTATATACATCCGTCCACAGTGATTGTTTTTTATCATGGTCTTTACCCATTTTCCGATTACTGTCAAATTTGTCCAAGACGAGGTCACAACCGTTGGGGGATACTACTATCACCACTAGGTATTACAATAATAATAGTGATTATAATATAATAGCGACACGTTAAGAACGCGAAAAATGTTTAAATAAAAAACCGACTGCACAGGTAAATACCTACATTGCAGTCGTACGTTTATATTATAGTGTTAACGGTTTTCAGCATAGGTGTCCAACCCATATACACCTAATATACTCGACTGCAATATGGCATTGAGCATATTATTATTACAATACTAATGTGGGTACATATAAAACACCCGCATGTGTGTTATTAGTCTAATATTCGCGTTATTAATTTTCGGTTGTCCGACCTTCGCGGCTAATCGAATAATATACTATCATTGCTCTGGCTAAACAAAGTATGGTATACAAAGACAGACGTCTTGAGGCGATATACCAATAAGGGCGTGTGTATCAGATTTAGGTAAACTGTATAAGTAGATTAGCACAAGATAGTGGGATAGTGGGATTTTCTCGTTCGGTACGTTTTCCGGTCGGTTACTTTGTATTTAAAAATGCTTGCTAGTGTACTTAAAATTCAACACGGCACAATGACTATTGCAATATCAATTATCTCACGGCTGTAATATGCATCTATAGCTGACATTTACACAACCAAACCGCCGCCGTTCACGATCCTATAAATCGCTATTAGAAAATCGTGTTCAACATTTATTCCAATATTACTGTTATTATTATAAGCTGATAATAATGAAATTGAGATACAATTTTTTTTTTTTTTTTGGATACAACAGTCAAAATAGTATCATCGTGCCGACCCGTTTGGCAACTGTTATGAAGGTAAATTAGAGCGGTTCTTATTTGCACGATTTCCGAATTTCAATATTATGCCGGGCCATTATTCGATTCAAAAAAAAAATTGAAGAAGAATATTATAAGCCTACTTTGAAAACTTTCTAATCCGATCCTGACCATTCGTCGTGACGAGGAGAAGTTTTCCGTTTAAAAAAATACCTGCAATTTTTCTATTTCCATTTAATTATTCTTCTGAGTGTGTAAAAAGCTGTGAAATTATGTACAACAATAAAAATGTTTCCAAAAAGGTAAACTGTAAAGTTGTATTTATTATCCGAGAAAATCAATGTCTTATCCTTAACAAATCACCCTGTATACACTATGTATTTCATACTTTTATTTATAGATAAAATAATATCTAGAATAGGTTATAAGTATAAGACGGTTTACATATTTTATTATGTATAATTATTCAATAAAAATAAACGTCGTGGCCCGTAGATAAGTGACTTTCATTAAACACAATCACCTAATAACATATTATTTTTTAAGTTTAAACTAAGTGGTCGTGACTAATTGTTGTAATAGGCGTTTGCGCTACAATTATCGATGCACAGTTGGAAAAAAAACGCCCAAGCAATAACCATTGAGAATCTTACTATTTCTTATACTTAACTTATTATAATAAAACTGTCGCGTGGATTGTTAAAGTTGTGAGTTTGTAATATTTCAAAATGCAAAAAAATGTATAGCCATAATAAAAAACGGCTATCGCATCAAAGCTAAAAAAAATATTAAACAAATAACATGTATAGGTAGGTATCCCTACCCGAACAGATAATAATAATATGCATGACTGATAACTGTAAGAATATTTCAAAAGCCAAATAACAAAGTATTTCCATTACTAAATTGAAAACTTTGAAAAGATAAAACGAACTGCGTTTCAAATGAATTGATTTTCATAAACTGTCAGAGAGACTTTTTTTTTTGTACCAAGATGTTGTAACTTTTATAATAGTTTGCGATTTTGTCTTTCCAACATTGGCACCGACTACCGACTGACGATAAAAGCTTTTTTCAATGTGTACACTATCTATGATGTGGTGAATAATGTCATAACAATATGAAAACACAGATAGCTCACTCAGCATGACGTCACACGACTGAAAATGATATCAGTGTGACCAGTGTAATAATATCACAGATTAGAGGTAAAAACAAATTATCTAAACTTTAATAATAATAGTCAGAAATAATTTAAATCTCAAGGCCGAGTTTGTACGACAATATTGTAAAATATCTGCACGATAATTTTTACCGATTCGTGTGGTTATACTGATATCAGGTCAGTGTGTCGGAAACATAAAAAAAACATCCTTCTGTTTTTCTACTGTGTGGTCAAAGAAACTTGATTAAGCATTTCTGTAATGTTATCGCCATCAACCTTCGTTAATCGACTACTTGTTATCAGTAATTCTTATCAGTTTACGTTATTATTGTAAATAGTGTGTATACAATATTTTCGGTACTATAATTTGGCACTACTGCATTAACTTTAAACCAATCAAAAATCGTTATTCGACAGCCTATTGTTTTACTATGGAGTGCACTAATCTGGTTTTATGTAATCTGTGGAAATAACGTCTTCTCGTCGTTAATAAAAAATCTGGCAAAAAAGCCGTTTAATAAACGTATTAATTGTCAACGGTAAATATTACACTAATAATGGAATTAAAATCTTTGTTTACCGTTCGATTGACTCTGAGGAAATCCAAACTATTATGTTTACTCAAGTGGAACTGGTATACTGTCAACAAGACCAGTCGAACGGAGTAATAGCAGCTGCTGTAGTTATTGAAAATCATTATTTAAATATTATTGTTATTATTAATTAATTAAAACCACCTTTCATCTAAAGGTAAATCAATTGAAATGAATGATTTTCCATTTGATGGATTCCAATAAAGCAAACCGAACGGTCCGGATTTCGCAGTATTATAAATAATTATAATTCCATCTGGACGAGAAGAAAACAAATATTAACTCAGTCCAGTCATTTCACAAATCAATTAAAATTGAAATATATTATAGAATCTAAACGAGCCAAATTTTTAAACAAACATTTAATTTTAATTAGTAATGCACATAAGGCAATTTGTATTAATAGCTATGAGCATTGGGCAGTGAAATAAATAACCAACAGAGAAAAAAAAGTATTAAAAGTTCAAGTTTTATCAAACAAACAGCGCTATCTGTGATGACAAAAATGGAAGGAAAAGTGCCATGTCACGAAAACCATAGGATTATAATACTTATAATAACTTACATGTATTTACTTAAGTACGATTTATAATGCAGTTTTAAGTTTCCCTTAAA